GTTTACATTAAAACATCCAATTACTGTTCTATTGATAGTAATATTAAACATTTGTTAACAATGACTTAGTTTTAGATTACTTTGTATTCCTTTATGTTGTGTGGTTGATGATTCCAAGAAAATTGATTTTAGATCATCCATAAATTCCTGACTGAACTCAGTTATAAATACAATAATCAATACAGAGCATGTTTGTGAGTACTGAACATTACAAAACAGTGTTGCTTTGTGTAAATACCTTTGACTGAATGATGAATATTTGTCTAAGATCTAATTGTATTAGCTTAAAATCCCTTATGCAAATTCATATTCTTATTTCTAATTAAGAGTAAATTGAACAGTGTTACAATTTTAACTTGACTGTCCTTACATGCAAAACAACTAACACCTATGAGAAGTTCTAATGTTATTTAACCAACACCCAATAAAGACCTGACACAATTCAACCCACACCCATAAAAGATATATTGAAAACTCAAATGGTCATTCTCAGAAGTTAATTTCCTTGAGCTCAAGAAGTATTAATGGCAACTATTACACTACCGCCCATAACCTTCCCCCTTTATGTGCCCTTAGAGTTAAATATAGGGAGTGCTAGTTTCAAGACACACAAGGCATTTCACATTACCCTAATAGATTGTTCCAAGCTTGAAATAAAAGACATCAGACTGCAATTCCTTTTGTAATCGAGCAGATTGCTCCATAACATAACCACATGATCAGTGTCAGCAGTCCTTATTGAATTGTGTAGAATATGCATGTGCATTGGATCCTAGGTTCTTCAGAGTTAACAGTACTGTAAAAAAAAACATGTCCAGCAGTTTACAGACCTTTCTAACATTTGTGATTAGCATAGTAAACTTAAATCATATATACAAGTGAAGTTCAAATGTGACAAGAAGATACATATGGAAATTCATGGATGGAGATCATTGAAGCTGACCCAACTTGACTCTGAAACACAGGCTACTTTTCCCTTATGTCAGTGTATCATCTTGGGACCACAAATCTACTTACATAGAATTAATATGACCCAAAAATTTCATACACCTTATTTATTCCTACTCAGTAAGTTTCATCAAACATTATCATCTGAGGCCTATAACTTAATAGATTATTTCTGACATGTACTGAACTTGCTTATAGAATATTTAAATTATCTTTTTTAGGTTGTACTAATCAAAACACAATTTTGGGCAACCAATCAATTTCATTCCATCTCAGTGTTAACAGTGGTGTAATAGAATCAGCTGGTCTCTGCATCCTCCACATTCTTGTTATCCAGTTATCTAACACAAGAATGGGATAATAGTACACCAGAGGGACAAAACCTGTTCTCAGTAACAACTAGATCCTCTGCTGAAATTTGATTACCAAGCCATCTGTATTGAGAGGTTGTATACAGCTTAATTTATTCCCTGCATGACCAATTCTGTTTAGAAGATAAGAAAATAATTGTCCTCTAAACTCAACTGTTTGGGTTTACATGAACATTGGTCATCTTAACAGGGATTAAAATTAAATAGAATAAATCTGCTCATAAAACATTTGTATGTATATGAATGCATGTGCATGTAGGGTAGATCAAGAGAGTGAAAAGAATGAGTGTTGCATTAGAATGGATTAGGGCATAAACAATGAGTAGATTTAAATAAAAATTATTCACTTCAGAAAAACAAGGAAAAAATCCCATACAATGAGCACAGTATGGTCTCTGAACTACTGTGTATTAAGTGTAATTACGTATGCATTTTAATTTGTGTGAATTGAAAGTTAAGGCTCATTCCCATTGAAACTATTGGTCTACAGAGATTGACCCAACTCTGCAGGGACTCTTGCTGAATGCAATCAGTTTAACAGATTAACCTGTCTCCTCGTTTCCAACGTACTGATATAATTAATCACCAGCTTTTCCATATTCTATACAATGCCAGGAGGCATTCTAATTTGTTGAACTGATTGCATTCAGCAACAGTCCCCATGAAGTTGGATCCACCTAAGTAGTTGGATCCACAATAGCCAATGTGGCAATTATATCAATGTGGCAATTCTACGTACTTGATATAAAAGGCACTTCTAAAATCAATCCCACATTAGGATATAACCAATGCGTCCTTGACATTTTGACACAAAAAATACATAAAATTGCTTTCAGAAAAGGTTCATGTTTTCAGCATGTTTTATTTTAAAACCCATCTCTTGTATTTTCCCAATCTCTTGTATTATTAGAATAAGAAATTCTATTTAATTTCCATTGGTAAGTAACATGGGAGTTTTCCAGTTAAAATGTACATTTTCAAGTTAACATTGGAGTGTTCCATCAGGTGTTATGTTTGACAAAAAATTAGTCTGATTGTGATGACCAAATTGAAGGCCTATTGTTACTGGCCAACTATACAAATCAATATATGTTTAAAACCTTAGTTGTTTACTGTCGAAGGAGGAAACACACAGCAGATATACTCACTTTTTTTCAATATTCTTTTTACACTGAAATTATATGTTGTTGTTTTTGTTTATTAAAATTGAAAAAGGCTATCATAAGCATGTCTCACATTCTTGTCATGTGTCCACAAGAATCAGAATGAAACTTAAGAATCAGAAGCCTCAAATCACAAAGGTGCAGGTTTAATAATGCGTTCTATCATTTCTCATCTCAGTGCTATCAAATGTGCTTGAAGAATGCGTATGCTCATCACTGACTTTATATTTTTCTTTTTTCAATTTAATAATTTCATTTATATTTTTGATTTATCTAACAGTGCAGAGGGCCTTAGTAAAGAAATGCAACACAAGACATCCCTGCATGTGTAACTAATGGGTTAACCCTACAAGGATTCCTGTTCAAGTAATGGTAAGAGGCCAGTGGAATTCTAGCAAAGCCCCCCATAGCTGGTGCAAATGGCATTCCAGTTAAATACAAATTGATTTTGAACCTACGCTGTGATGCATATCAAAATTGCAGCTTGTCTGTGGTTGTTTGATACCAATATACAGTCTTTGTAGTTTTCATCAAAGGTTTTTCTCAATTATATATATAATAATAATAATAATAATAATAATAAGATTCTTATATGGCGCCTTACATTCTATCTCAAGGCGCCTTACAATAATGGCTAATATACTAAAATCATTAAAATGANCTATGCATTTTAATTTGTGTGAATTGAAAGTTAAGGCTCATTCCCATTGAAACTATTGGTCTACAGAGATTGACCCAACTCTGCAGGGACTCTTGCTGAATGCAATCAGTTTAACAGATTAACCTGTCTCCTCGTTTCCAACGTACTAGTATAATTAATCACCAGCTTTTCTATATTCTATACAATGCCAGGAGGCATTCTAATTTGTTGAACTGATTGCATTCAGCAACAGTCCCCATGAAGTTGGATCCACCTAAGTAGTTGGATCCACAATAGCCAATGTGGCAATTATATCAATGTGGCAATTCTATGTACTTGATATAAAAGGCACTTCTAAAATCAATCCCACATTAGGATATAACCAATGCGTCCTTGACATTTTGACACAAAAAAAACATAAAATTGCTTTCAGAAAAGGTTCATGTTTTCAGCATGTTTTGTTTTAAAACCCATCTCTTGTATTTTCCCAATCTCTTGTATTATTAGAATAAGAAATTCTATTTAATTTCCATTGGTAAGTAACATGGGAGTTTTCCAGTTAAAATGTACATTTTCAAGTTAACATTGGAGTGTTCCATCAGGTGTTATGTTTGACAAAAAATTAGTCTGATTGTGATGACCAAATTGAAGGCCTATTGTTACTGGCCAACTATACAAATCAATATATGTTTTAAACCTTAATTGTTTACTGTCAAAGAAGGAAACACACTGCAGATATGCTCACTATTTTCAATATTCTTTTTACACTGAAATTATATATGTTGTTGTTTTTGTTTATTAAAATTGAAAAAGGCTGTCATAAGCATGTCTCACATTCTTGTCATGTGTCCACAAGAATCAGAATGAAACTTAAGAATCAGAAGCCTCAAATCACAAAGGTGCAGGTTTAATAATGCGTTCTATCATTTCTCATCTCAGTGCTATCAAATGTGCTTGAAGAATGCGTATACTCATCACTGACTTTATATTTTTCTTTTTTCAATTTAATAATTTCATTTATATTTTTGATTTATCTGACAGTGCAGAGGGCCTTAGTAAAGAAATGCAACACAAGACATCCCTGCATGTGTAACTAATGGTTAACCCTACAAGGATTCCTGTTCAAGTAATGGTAAGAGGCCAGTGGAATTCTAGCAAAGCCCCCCATAGCTGGTGCAAATGGCATTCCAGTTAAATACAAATTGATTTTGAACCTACGCTGTGATGCATATCAAAATTGCAGCTTGTCTGTGGTTGTTTGATACCAATATACAGTCTTTGTAGTTTTCATCAAAGGTTTTTCTCTATTATATATATATATATATATATATAATAAAGATTGTGTGAAAATAGGGCTAAAAGGCTTGTTTTTGTTTTGACTTTCATAAGGAATAGATTTGTGATCCATATCTGCTTTATTCTACTTTGTAGGAAAATTTAGATGGGCAATGAAGACAAAAAAACCGAGAACAAATGATATCATTGAAAAAGCAACCCCCAGAACTAAGGTTACTGCCTACAAACTTGTCAATTCCAAGAATACAGGTTGAAAGATAGAAGGAAAATTGGGTAAGGGTGGAACCCCTTGAAACATCTACACCCATATTATCACAAATTATTAACAAAATCAGTTATATTCTGCTACAATTTATTCACTTAGATGTAATCTAGTTAGTTGTGCAGATACATGATCAAACTCAATGCTGTAGTTGAGCTAGTCCTCTCAACCACAGTATGGTTCAACAATACTTAAAAACTCCTTCATAATGTATATGTAAAATGTATGAATACCATCAAAAGAACATAACATTATTAAAATTGTCAAAAAATATATAAGTGTAGCAATTGTGCAACAATATGTCATTTGTTTCCCATTAATTAAAGAGTAAATGCAGTGTATTGACCATTAGATATGCCCAAGATTAGCTCGAGAACTTTCACTTTTATATCAATCATTTTTAAGCATCAAGTATTACTTATTTTGATTCATTACTTGTCCTTGTCCACTTTTCTTGTTGTCAAAACAGTCCCATTAAAATATAGCATGGTATACTATTGAGCAAAATCATATTTTGACTTAGAAATATTAGAAAATTGCAACCCATTGATGCCACAGCGCATTCCTCAAGTTTGTAATATGACAAAAACATTCAGTCTAGTAGTCTGTGAAGATAGTACATTTTGCATAGAATTGGAAGAGCAGCACTTTGATGTACATAAATACATACAATACAAAAAAAAAAAATAATTATTCTTTATAATAAAACAATTAGAAAATTTTCAACTTTAGTAAATTCAAATTTAAATATTCAAATTCATATTCACCTTGTACCTGAAAACAAATCCATTTGAAACTATAACAATCTATTTACCTTGGTAAAAGTATTTGTAAAATATTGGCAATGTATTTCAGTTAAGTTAAAAATGTACATGTATGTTGTAAGAAAAATTTGACACAGAAAATATGTTAACAAAAGTACTTATTACTTTGGTAGACATAATCTCATTCCATTTAATATGATTTCATCCAAATGGATAAATTAAACAATTTCGCATTAACAATATATATTTACTTGGAACTTAGAAAAAAGAATTATTTCAAAGATACAGTATTAAAGTTTACATAAGCCTTGGTCTTCAAGCTAGATCACAATCTAGTTCACCTTGCACCTTTTAATATGTTCTCCTTTTTTTATCAAATGCTAGCTTGTTATCTGTCCATAATATTTTGCTAGTCTAACATGTCATGCTTTTACAACAAACCATTGTCCTGGAAGTCCTTTTTGATTTTGTTGACATCCTCTTCACTGAGAGGCTGTAGAGGAGAGCGCGTGGGTCCTCCATAGTAGCCATACCACTCCATAGCAGCCTTCATGCCAGGGACACCATACTTCCTTGTTACCTGTGAGGAATTGACAAAAATATTATGATTTCTTTTACCTGAATCTTTTTTTTTTTCATTTGGACAACAAAAAATCCATAAATACACAAGAAAGTTAGCATTACAAAACCAACCAGATCAATTACAAACAAGATACAATAGAATTTCATGTTTTGCTTTTGTTATGATATTATTCTATATTCATTATATTCTTTTGGGATCTTTTCCTGATTTTTTTGAAATACAAACTGTAATGGAAAAACTTTCAATTGTGTCAGGTAGGTGGTTTTTACTTTTATCTAAAACGTTATTATAATCTCAACAAGACAAAACATAAATCATTATGATAAAAGTCTCTCTTTGCAGTATCTGAATACATTGGTTTTTTGATCATGCATGAATTAAGTACTTATACATAAGGAATCACATTCAATAAAAAGAACAGAAACACACTATATGCATTTGATGTCACACTTTTAAAAATTCATTATGAATAAAAATTCACAATAAAAAGTACACCGTGAAAAAAGAAAGTAAATGGCAAAACATACGTCTGTGTTGGGAACTATCAGCCTGTGCTGTAGGGTTAGGGCTTCTTTCTGCTGGCCTTGTTCAAATAAGGTCTGTACATCACACACCTCCTGCCCCACTACATTAGCTAAGGCACAGATTCCACCCGAACAACCTGAAAAAAAAATACATGATACTCATACTTTTTGTTTGTTAGGAATATGGTACAAGAACAAGGGACTATAACATACTCAGTCTTGCCACATCATAACATCAAGAACACATTTCTTACAAAAAGATCTGTGCTTTTATTAATGTTGCAATTAAACTGCAAAACTAAGTTAAGCCCCCATTGACATTCAATGACACTAAAACAATTATAGTTATAATGCATGTCAGTGTTAACAAGGGTGAGGAGTATAGTTTCAAAGGAAAGGGCTAAGAAGCAAACTTTTACTATCACTGCATTATGCAATAAATCTTTTCAGCAAATTGATGTTTCAATTACTTCTCTCAGTTGCTGTAGCATTTAATTAATTGAATAATGAGAAAGATCATTTATTAACTATGCAGATGTTTAAAAAACAATATCTATTCAATGAATTTAAACTAGTTTAGCTGGGTTATAAAGGAAAGAGCCCCATCAAGTAACCATTCAGTATTAGGCTACTGGATAGTAAATATCAAACTACTAAAAAAATTCAGAGAAAATACAATATACATGTAGTCACAAATGACATTTATATATAATTTTTCTAGTTTTTTTTTTTTTTTTTTTTTTTTACTAAAATCAGATGGTAAATTATGTTTCAATTACACAAATAATCCTTGCTGCTATTTTGAAATACTATGTCACTGACATATGCTGTTCCGAACTTCTCCATATAAAGGTATGCTATGCCCATATATGGTGGCATAACCATGTGTGTTTGTGTACAACACATCAATAGAAAACTAGGTCACTGTATGTAAACAATGGATATATAGGTCAAATTGAGGATACATTGTGCAGACCCCGTTGTTCTCACTGGGACCCAACCATGGACAACTAATATCATCAGCTGATGGAATCGACCAAAAACCTTATTCTTGCTGACTGGTCCTGATTAAATTTGCCATATATGGGCTGGCAAGTAAAGGTCCCTTTTTTCAGCCAAGCTACCCTAGGGGTGGTTAACTCATTTTTCAAAAAACCTCACAAAATTATTATAATTTATACATCAATATCTAACTGATTATGTTGATATAATACAGACACATAACACAGTCAGTTTTAGTATATTAACCATACAATATATTCATATATATAACTCCCAATTAAAAAATTTGGAATTAATGGAGAATACTACCTGTGTCCTCAAATAATGGGCAATGCCATTCTTTCTTTTATAATCAAAAATAAGGCTGACATAATCAATGTATATAGCACTAGGTCTGCCTGACTTGTGATCCAGTGCTGCATATGTGTGCTACTCTTCGTACCAGCAGTCAAGGCAGTGGCAGACCTCTTCCTGCAGAAGGCCATCAGAGCAGGATTCTGAGTACCATCTCAGGAGCGTTGACAAAACCTGTCTCTATTGCAAAACACTGTGCAGCATCAACAACATGGATGAACTAGAAATGCCAGACTTCACCAAACCCTGGAAGCATGGCAACATCATCTTCATAGTAGAAGAGAAGAAAATCTATGCCAGTAAAGCTATACTGTCTATGTGGTCTCCAATGATGGATGCTATGTTTTCACATGATTTTGTGGAGAAGGAAGCAAAAGAGATCCCCCTACCTGGGAAGAACTATAATGATATGGCTGAACTGATGGCTGTCATCCACCCACCTCTCAAGCCTATAGATGGTAAGCATCATATATATGGATACTAAAATATTGTTACTGAATGAAGGGCTGTTTATAATCTGTAATACTTGGATGTAGGGTTACAGCAAAACACTATCTGATGGTATTGATTTTCACTGTTATGAAATGCTGCAACATCCATCATACAACACTTATAACAGAACTCAATGTATCTTTCTTTATTACAATTCAGCACACTGCGCATTCACTTTATTCTTATTTTACCATTATGTATAAATCTAGTATGCCATTAAAAACAATGTTCTATGACCAACTGTGTATATGTCTCCAAAAGGCTGAGACAACAAAAATATTAGACAAAACATCAATAATGCACATTTGCAATCGTATTTTCATACTCAGCTATTGATCAGGTCTCTACATCATATTAAAGTACATTTTCTCTCATCAATCTAATTAATCTTGGATATATAGGCATATGCACAGCTTTTTTCTTTTCTTCTTTTATCTTTTGCTTATGAAGTGACTTGGTAATATGTGCCTTACAAAACATGCAATTCCAAAACATGCAGAGCTACAATTAACAATTTTCAAGAAACATTCAATATTTACATTAGCAAGACTTTTGGTACATTAAATTGAAATATGGTAATAAAATGGACAAAATTGAAAAATATGGTTAATTTACTGAAATTTTGGGAGCTTTTAGCCCATTCCCATGGTGATGTATTGTAAAATGAATTCTCTCCTGACAATTCCAGATTCTAATGAGCACACATTGATCCATTGACTTAAAGAGTTATGGTTCACATATGTCCCTAAGTGATATAAACACTATTTTCAATAAAAAAGTTTAAAAAAGACTCATGATGTAAATGCAGAAGTGGATGGGCCAATCAGTAAAAAAAACATCACAGACAATCTTAACATAATTTGCATGTGCATAACAAAGTACAAACAAAGCATCAGAAAACAACAAGTACAATAGGTGTAACCATTTAAGATTCATATTAACAATGACTATCTTAAAACTTTCAGATACCAATGTTTTTACAGTTCTTCCCCTGCTCCAAGAGTACCAATTCACAAAATTTGTTCATCAAGCAGAAGAGTTTCTTCTATCCAAGCCCTGCAGCATAAAAATCTTGGTGGTAGCCCAGAAATATTATCTACCAAGACTGCTGGAGAAGTGCATAAAATATGCTGACTCAACCTCACTGTCCACACTCAAACAACAACCAGACTTTCGAGAAATAGGAACTGATGTTTTGGTCCAGATTCTTATGAATAAAGTAGAAAGCTATGAATCACTTGGGAATGACCTGAAAAGGTTTCTCAAGAGTGTTGTTGTTGTCAATGATGTCAAGCAACGGCCATATTCCTGTCAACAGGTTGACGGGGATGATACTACATATCACCGTATAGGATCACATCGCCAATGTCCCTCATGTACCAAATACATACATGATGAAGTGGAAAAGTTCTGTGCCAGACTTTAAATTTTTATGACACTTCAAATGCTACCAGAATGAAAACTATTATTATAATGGTTCCAGTTGTATGAATATTTTTTTTTCACTGAGAACATACACACACACACAGTTGGAAAAGTACTCTGATAAGTTGTATTAAATGTTCAATTTTGTTCATTTGACACTGTATAAATTGGACAATTCTATAGGAGCATAAAATATTTTTCGCTCCTGAACTTTAATTTTTTCTTTGTATTACTGGCAAAACTTTAATTAAAAACTATATTTATTTGGCACTGGTGTCTGTGATAGTTGTAGCTTTCAATTCACTTTTTCTGTAATAAGGTTGCAGAGTTTGTTGGAATGTATTTATTTTGAATGTAATAAAATATGATTAAAGCAATAATAACTCTTCCTTTGAGATTCAAAATTCCGCATGAAATACATTGTAAACAACGCGTGGAAATATATTCTATTGTATTTTACCACTGAAACGGCCGTTATTGTAGTAAAACTAAAATCTGTACTTGTCAATAGGGCTTTCGAGCCTTTCTTCCCAGTCATCAAGTCACTCGTTGCTAATGACGTAATGGTGTCACGCGGATTCTCGCATTCATTCGAGACCAAAATAAGATGGCGCCAAACGCATTAATGCGGACGCAGACGTAAGTTGCGAGTTTTTGTACAGTACGTCGGATAACGAAAAGCCCGGAATGGCACACATTGTTGATATAAATGCATTTTTAACCAAAAGACGAATATATCTCATGAATCTTATATAGTGTTGTTGTTGTCTGCTTTTCCCGCGGTTTTAAGTAGGTCACCAGTGACTTTGCAATGTCAGAGAGAGAGCTCCGTCAGTTAAAATCTCTTAAGAGATTTTAACAAAAAACCGTACGTTTAGGAAAAAAACCCTGGATTAACTTTGAATGCAGGAATGGGGTCGTTGGCCATTGGTAAGTACGGGAAAATTGCCGTTTTTTCCAGGAAAATCCAATTTTTGGCCAAAACGAAGAGTTATTATGACTTTAAAAATATTTCTGGCTCTCCTGTGACCTCATCCACTGAAGAATTATTTAATATTCATTAAATACTCCAATTCTTTGGAAGTCCAATTTTGCAAAGATTTATGAATAACAAATGTAATAATGGTAAATATAACACAAAGGCACAACAATATACGTGAATTTTTTTTTTAATTATCTTTCCCAACAAAAACAAAACAATGCAGGAGCATGTATCAAAGAAAAATTACAAGTTCCTGTAACTAAGGCAAAAACTATATTAGTATTAATGAAAAGACCACTATCAAAAATATTCTTTTGAACTTTTAAAAGCTAAGAAACTTTTGTGGAAAAAACTTCAAAGATCCAATTGCATGTAATATCATGCTCTGTCTCATTGTCATCATCTACCTACACTCATCACCTATCTCCAGCCATCAACTACCACTACTGCCACCTATCTCCAGCCATCAACTACCACTACTGCCACCTATCTACAGCCATCAACTACCACTACTGCCACCTATCTACAGCCATCAACTACCACTACTGCCACCTATCTACAGCTATGACTTACCTACTGCCAGAGCTGGAAGCAGAAAGCTTGCTGATCCTGCAATCACATGGAAATCCTGGCCAGCAGTCTTGTGCACAATATTTCCTAATTTTGCAACCTTGAATTCAAAATGAAACACATCTGTAATGTTCCCATAATACATTTTCTTAAGAAAATAGTGATAGAATGTAAACTTTTCAAATGTAACAAGATCCCTTTTCACCAAGCTTTAACTCACAAATGCAACACAAACATTTGTCTGTTTAAACTATGTACAAAAAAACTCAAAAAATTAAAAATGAAGAATTATACTAAAAGTTCTCAGCATACATTGAAACCAAAATACTGTATTATACATAAAATGAAAAATTCAGAAAGTTACTAATGAACAGAATGAAATGAAAAATTGAAGAAAAAAATACCCTTATCATACAGAGAAAAAAGGGAAAAGAAAATTAAATCTTGAGAATGGTATCTTACATCGCCTCCACTGTCTTTAAATCCTATTATATTAGGGTGTTTCGCCAGCTTAATGACCACCTCCCCAGACAGGTTAATGCCAGTATTACCTGGACAACTGTATAATATCACAGGCACTGGACAGTTATCAGCTACCTGGAAAATAATATCAAAAGGCATTGTATTTGTTACACGTGTATAAGAGACTTACAAGTCTGACCTGGTCAGCAAAACACACATTACAGTAGTTTTGTAGCCATTTGCAAAATATGTTTATATAGCAGTTAAAGTACTACACCAAAAACACTGATTAGACCCATAACAACAACATATATATAGCATATATATTGTCAATGAGAACCACACAAACTCATACTAGTAAATCTAAAGACTGAAGAACTCACTACTTTATCTTGACAATATTATACACCTTGCAAATGATGCTCACTTCACTATTCAACCACATCTGTTGTGCATGTGTAATTCAGGTAAATGGAAATGTCCCTGTCTATTTTGCCAACTTTACTATATAACTATTTGTACCATCAGACAACTGTACAACATACAACCTTATTTAATCTGAGCAATCTTCCTTGCACATATCTGGTCTCATCTTTAGTTTTAATATAAACAGCTTTATTCTGGAAATCTCTGAATTTGATAACAGTTATGGATCAAGGATATTAATGTGTCCTTACAGCAGTGTAATGTTTCTCCATTGCAAGGTCAGTCATACCATTCTTGTAATAGCAAGGAGTCACCACCAGTACTGCATCAGCACCAACTGCTGCCATCTTCTGGCTCAATGTGATAGTATCACGGGTGGCTGAAAATACAAATATGAGATATGTTAGTAACATGAAAACACACTTTAATGTAAGCCAATCCCATTATAAAAAAAATATATCGCTGTAGAAACATAAATATTGTTTAGTCTTGCAAGAATTATTTCAAAGTAGAGCTAAAATCATGGCAACCAATGTAAAAAAAATTTGATTTGTCTGGTTGAAAAGAGGGACTAACATAATTTTGAGGCAGAGTGTTTTAAATTATTCAAATTATACTTAAGCAAATACATTGAGAGACCTTGCACCTGCAGAGCTGATGGCTTCCAGTTATTCAATTATTATTTAAGGCGCCCATACAGATGATGCTGAATTTTGCAAGGTATATATAGGGAATATTTTTTCTCATTTTTCAATTTTTTTTTACATCTTTTAAAATGTATTACATCTGTATGGTAGGAGGCCTTCATCAGACTGATGTGAGTATATGTATGTTATCACTGACTGCTAGGTGGCTCAGTGGCCAAGACCTTATGTCTGGTAGATTGACCTTCCAATATGGGATGTTCCCTATTCATGGGTGACATTTTGACATTTCTGCATTTAAAAGCAATGTTTAAAATCTCTTTTCCGGTTCATCTTTCACCAAAAAACCAAAGAAGGAGAAAGAGAGTTTTCTTTTTGTACATACATTCACAACCAGACCCAGCTATGATGAGTTTGGATTTCGGCACTATTTCTCTGACTCTCCTCACCATCTCCACTCTTTCTTCATATGTCATGTAGGCATACTCTCCATTTGAACCTTGCACTGTATACCCTGTGTAAGAAAAAAGGCTGGTTATTATATTGTCACTGGGGATATCATTTTACAAGTGTCTTGATAATTCCGTGTACTGGTATCAACCAGGGTCAATGGGAAAGTTTTAGGGACCATTCAGAATGAGTTATGTCAATTTAGCTGATGGACACTATCTCCACAGGAACTCTTGCTGATTGCAATCAGAATAACAGACTAACAGGCCTTCAGTTTCCAACATGAAATAAGTTGACAAAAGTCAATATGAACAATCCCTAATATGCTAAAATAATTAAATAAATAATGTGAATGATGCTTTAATTTGCAGTCTACAAAAAGCTTGTACTACGCGCATGTGTAGCAAAGTGGTCTCCATACCTGTCCATGTATACACATAGCAAATACACACAGTAATATAATCGATACCCTGGTACACTACCCTGTTTACTGTAGCACGTCATATCATAAGTACTCTAACTCGTGCATCTGCTTTAATTTTGTCGTACAGAACCATAGAAACGATGAAACAACCATCTGGTTGCATACCTTTAAATGGAATAGTATCCCACTTTTTCAAATTATATTCCATCTTTTCGTAGCTAATATCTTCGTTGCTGTCGAAGGCAGTCGGGATGGGAGGATAAATGCCTCGCAGATTAAGCTTCTGTTGCGTCGACATGGTGCGGAGAATGACTCTAAATCCGTCTGATTTTGGACTAAGTTTGCCCAAATAAGCTTTTACGAAGGGCCGCAAGGACAGTGAAGAGAATGGGTTTAATTTCACCGCCATTCAATTAGTGTTGTTTTGCAAAGCCCTGCAACGTCCCTGGAAGTGTCTTATTTTACTTCCGGAAAAAGCTCCGAAGAATATTTTTCGATGTGCATTTGTATGATAGCCTTTGGTAATTGAAAGATTAAGAAATAGCTGGAAGAATACCTGATTCATTCCTTATTTTTATACATTATCTGATTTGCTAACAATTTGAGAAATTGTTGAAGAGTAACATTTCTTCAAGTCACTCGCGGAAGGATACAAGGTAGACAGTTAAGGCCGACATAAAGGCATTCCGCGAAGTCGTGTTTACGTGTTGGCACGAAATATGAAACTTTGAAGGTAATTAGATTTCACATGTTACTGTCACTGTCGCAGGGAATTAGAATTTGATTTCTTCTGTCTAGAAATCAACCCTTTATTGTTTACTTAGTACTAAACTGACGAGATTTATATCATGGTTTTACCTGCAAATCACTAAGTTATTGGTGGCAATGCCCATGCAAAATATTGCAAAACTACATGTATATTTCTGCATGTTGTAATATTAATAGGTTTCACTTTCCATTTTCAGGTTAATTTTATATACTTCTATCGAACTTTCCTTTGTTTCAGGTTCCCTCTCTGTTGCTCATGATATTACATGGTGAAATAGTGGTACATTTCCTAAGATGGAAAAACAACCGTTACAGCAGAAGAAAAGCCCACTAAAAAAAGATGACCACAACCGTCAAAACGAAAGTAATTCCACAGGTGTAGCTATTCCTGGAGATCAGACCTCCACACATATAGAAGAAAAAAATTCACCAGCAGAAGAAAGTGGTCTTAATGTTTTACACACAAGTGCAGAGAATATCACACCAACTAGTAACAGTTCCATAGTGACAGTATTATCTGACCTTGGCACCACAGACCTCAACTTTGAGGTACCCACAGAGGTTTTACAGACAGCTCAACTCTTGACAGAGTTTTCCTCCCAACCAGCTGCTGCCTCAAGTGATTTGCAAGATCATATACAGTTTACTAACAGTGCTTATCAACATGAACCTAATCAAACTGTGGAGTCACTATTACAGTCTCACTCAAAGCAGGTGGTCATAGTGAATCCTGGTAGAAGTTCAGGCGAGACCACTACAGGCATTGCCACTGAGAGCAATTCCCTGAATGATGCAAATAGGCAAACAGTGTTCATCATCAATAATGATGGTACAATGTCAACAGCCCGTAGGTGGGGGACTTATCTGTGTGAAAGCAATGGTGAAAGTAGCACAGAGAATGATGCTTTACCACAACCTAATGTGGTAGTTGTGACCAACCCTGGTGCTGAGCAACACAATGCTGATGGAACACCCACTACAGCCACCACCACCACCTCCATACAACAGAACTTCTCCAATCTCACTAAATTGCTGGTCCCAGTTGATTCTGTAGTTCTTAGGAATATTGCACCAAAGTCAGAAAGTAATGAGGAGGATAGCATTGCCCATCAAGTTGATCAAGCAAATCATATAACAGATGGAAATGTAAAGGAGCTAGTTCAGGTCTCAGACCCTCATCTTCTTCCCCCACCCCCAGGACCAATATTGTTTCAGGTTATGAAAGATGATGGGACTGTCCAAAGTGTTAATATCAATCCGGTTGATCAGCTACAGGAACAAACAGAGAGCTCAGCAACAGCAGCAGATCCTNCAGCCCAGCAGCAGCAGCAGATCCTGGGGGTCAAATAGTTTATGAGCCAAAGAAGCCATTTAAGTGTGAACTCTGTAGTGCCTCTTTTACTTTACTTGGGAATCTTAACAGGCATAGGATGATTCATTCTATTAATACCAAGGTGTGATAATGGGTGTTTCTTGCGTCTGAAGCAATTGAGTGGAATTTTTGTTATTTTATATTTTATAGTCTTGATAGGAAAAAATACAAGCATATGAAGTGTGCACCTTAGAAATAAAAATCTTTTTTAGAAAAAAATTATGGAAGTTGAAAAAAAATTTGAATTGAGTATCAGTTTTTTCTTACAACTTTTTCTTTTCACTTCATTTTGAAATTTTGATTCCAGTTTACAGTCTAATAATGTAATATTAACTCTTCAAATTTGATTTTCAGGAAGAATGCCGTTTCAAGTGCAACGAGTGTGGCCGCTTTTTTCTGCAGCGTTGTGACTTGATAAGACACACAGATATCCACAATAAGACGGAACCATACAAGTGTGAGATATGTGGAAAAGGTTTGTTTTGTGAATACACCAAACAATATTTTTTCATGTTAGGGTTTTAACCAAAGAGCCATCTTCTCATCTTTTGGATGGCCAGTTATAGGAAATATGGTTTAAATTAACTAATTTAATTTTACAAATTGAAATATTAATTTCAAAACTTTTGTTAATTTCAGGAAGTGTTAATATTTCAAATGTAACCCCAAGATAACCCCAAGAGGATTCAAATTGCAAGAAACTATAGAGATTTTACCTCTGTTAAGAAAGTGTTATTGTGTAATTTTTACATTGTATTGACACCTCAGGCTACATAAGACGCAGTGACCTGGTTGTACATACACGGTTTCACAAGAGAGAGAAGCATTGCCAGTGCACTTATTGTGGCAAGACTTATTACCAATCAGGTACAAGTACAAATAATTGTTCAGTTATACAACTGTCCATACATATTGTTCAGAGATTGCCAGTTAAGTCTAAAGGCATGTCAAAATTACCAGTATTTTCAAGGGGAAGGTGAGTTCACTATTTCACAATCATTTATTTGTTAGCTCTGCACATTGATGTGCTCAAGATTTTATTGTACAATTCAAGTTCCTGGTAATAGAATGACTGGCAGAAGTCCTTGACTTCTGTTTCGGTGATCACTCCAATTGTGAACATAAAGATACCTAAGATTCCACTTTTTGCAGTTGTTTTATTTTGGTAATCCTAATTTCCATTTTCAGGAGACCTTAATCGCCATATACGCAGTGTACATCTGCAGTATAAAATGTTGACTTGTGGACATTGTAAGAAAAAGTTCACCAAAGAGGCCACTCTTATGAGACACATGCAGGCTAATCATAGAGATATAATACTGCAATCAGTGGACCAATTATCAACCCAGACAGACAGGTATACAAATACACATCCTGTTTATATATAACAGTGTGAAGACTACTTTTAAAGGAATTTCGGAATTGCAAAAAGTCAACAACCAGCTATAATTATTCTAACAGATAAAACAAGATTTCACAAAAAGTAAACGCAGTCTGCTGTGAAAAATTAGGAAATAGCACATGGACATACTCACACACATACCAATTACATTCGACTTGGAGAATTTGACAGTAAAATCTGATTTACCATTTTATTATGAGCTTGTAGTGCTTCTCGCAAAGTTTTTTAAAAAGATTTTATTGCGTAGTGAAATGGTGACTGGGAGTATATTTTATTTACATTTTCTATTTCAGAAGTGAGCATGAAAATCCAGTCTCTGAGCCTGATGACTGCCCTATTACAGAAGACACAGACGCACAATCAAAAATGGAACAGAGTAGTCAGTGACTGATGAGCAACAGGAGCTGACATGTGCTTCTACCAAAACACTTCTCGCTTTTATTGAAAGAAAGTACTCAACAAAAATTATATCCAGGTTCTGTAAGGTGCAAGTTTTTGAAATAAAAATTGTGTTTGCCATTGTCAAGTGGTACGCTGGAACCAAACATTTACAGGGTTATATTTTGTATCTTAACAGGCACCACCTAGATGGAACAGGGTCTTTTTCAGACTAGAAATTTTTAGCAAAGCTTAGGGAGATCAGTTTTGAACACATCATTATGATAGTGATAATGTTGATTTAGAGGGTCTAAATACTATGTGCAGCAGTGGTCTTCGTGAATCCTGATGGTAAAATATTAATTTGTATGTTTACAAATGTATTATATGAAACGAATCATGGCCTGAACAAATTAGACAAGAACAATGAATCATGCAGTGACTATTTGTGATGGGTGCTTTATTGAAATATTTACTGTTACTTTGAAGATAATAGTGCTTACAGAATATATTTAACAAATACATCTCTAAAATTACGATAATTCATGATTTTTATTTAATTTGAATCCGACAGCTAAATATCCAGTATTAAAAATCATTTGATTTATTTTTACATCATTTTAATTAATTTTTTGTTATGGATGCATCATGTGGGATAAATGTTCTACGGAACATACATTAACTTAATTTTTCTACTCAAAACACAAAAATGAAGAAGTAATAATGAAAAGTGAGACAACATTACATTACAACATTACATAGAATTCAGACAAAATCTAAAAATGCAGCATGTCACAGATGTGTACAACAGAGCCTGTTACATATTTTGAAGACACAGCATTTGGAAATTCTGTTCTGCAAATTGCAGTGCCAGGTACAGACTGCTGGTGGCTGTTACCAATTAAATTTTGCCTTTTCTCCCAAGCTGTGTCAGTGTCCATACACTGAAGTAGTTCATCTTTCCTGATGCTTTTACCAAATTTCCTCTCTGGAACTCTATGCAAGTTACTTCTGCATGGTTTCCAAAAGGTACCTAAAATGTCAGTAAACTTATCATTTCATACCTGGTCAACTTAACTTATTATTGCTTTGAGAGAAATTTTAATTCATAATCCTTCATCACAATGATTAATAACACAAACGAGTGTGCAAATGCAACAGACCACAGTTTTTCTTTTCATGAGAATTAAAAAACATTTTGTTTAATGACAAATTTTCAAATGGGGTCATTTTAAAGGCACCAATGTCCTGTCCTTCAGTGGATTATTAAAATTTCATTCTAGTCTTTTCACCAAGTATGTTCAGACCAGAGTTGCTGTGGATCATAAATAGACTTATGAGTAACTCACACTATCGAACAATGTGAATGGACCCAATGAAAGAGACATGTTCAATAAAAACACATACCATTCTCCTCTTGCCTGTGCTGCCTCCTTTCTCACCAGTCTCTTTTTGTCATCCAAAGGGTGCGCCAGTTCTCTGACCACTGTCTTCTGGTGTGGGGTGGTCAGGTGCTGGGGCAGGGTGGTCATCATGCCTAGACACTGCAGGGCTGCTATACGCACTTTCTGGAATAACAATAATTATTGCATTAAACAGAGTTGAACACTGACATATTGGTACAAAGAGAAACAGAACTGGACAAAAAATGATACCTTTGTTTGAAAATTTCAGTATGTCTAATATCTCAAAAAATTTCAAAACACACACACAAATATATTCTTCCTTCAAACTGAGATTGTCAAGTTTCAATAAGTGACAGAAACTGTAAACCAGAAAAATTCTTAGGAAATAAAACTTTCAAACATATATTTATATATATCTTAATATTAAGGTGCACCATTCAGTTTAAAATGTACCAAGTGTATCAACCTACCATTGATGGCTCATATCTAGAAAGCTTCAGAAACTTAGGTATCAGAGTATCTAAGTATTCCCCCAGGATAAGTGGTGCATCATGCATCAGATCATACATTGTGGTCATTGTGGACAGCTGTAAACTGACCTCTTCTATCAACAAGGACTGGACTAGGAGGGGGACAAGCTAGAAGAAAAGGGCAGACAAAAACACATGGGTACTTATTTCTACAAACAGACTGAAATAAGCTGACATTATAAGTTTGTTTTGCACTCAGGAATACAAAATTCATGCTTTGATACAGTCTACAGATGAGTTGTTGTGACATATAAAGAACAAGCAAAGTTAACACTTTTTTTAACACTTATAAAAACTGAGTACATTATTAATCAGCAATCAATTTCTCTTTACATTAACAATCCTTTTCTTACTTACTGGGGGTAATTCACTCAGCAAGACTTGCTTCGGGACAAATCTCAGCAAGTATGACAAAGCTGTTAGGTAAAACTGCTTTCTGTCTGATATAAAAATGACAATTAGATAAATGTCAATCAACTTCATTTTTAGATTTGGATTTACAAAATTCTAATTCATCTGCATATTTAGACTTAAACATAATATTTTTCAACCATGTACACTTTTCTTAATTTGTCCATAGCAATTCAAAACTACACATTATTGACTGCAACAGAATAAATGATTAACAAAAACTACAATTATTCATTTTAAGATAAACTAATTAAATAAATGACGTCCTTACCTGCGATGGTTGAATTAAAACCTTGAATGAGTCCAGGTAATGTAAGGTGAAAGAAGCGTTGTTTGTAAAGTGGTCTGATGATTGCGTGCATGTGTTTTGTCATCACATCATCAAACTCTGCCATAACTATGTAGAACCCATCTGCTGCCAATTTGTTCAAGTTAGAATTTTCAAAAAAGGTCATCATCTGAAAGAGATCTTAATTTTACAAAAAAAAAAAAGTAAAAAGTTCTTGGAATATTTTAAATCTAAATCTAATCTAAATCACACCTGTATGTGTAATATTCTTCACAGAGGTCCAGAACAAAAGCCTTATCGAAATAGAATATTAACCATTTCAAAGTTATTCCATAACAATATGCATGATTGCCTTTTTATAAAAAGAATAGACATGAATGTTCAGAAATATTTCAGTTTGCTTTTGTGATTAAGAAAAAAAGAAGAAATTTACTTTTTCAACAAACTTTCCAGAAATGGGGTGACCTCTGAGTACCAGTGCCTTGGTGACCCACTGCCATACAAGTGCTGCTCCCTGGTGTTGTCCACTCTCAACTCTTGTATTCAGCAAAGTCTCCAGCTTCTGCTTCAAAGATTCAAGATAAGAATCCAATTCTGTGCCTGTAATAAAAAGTTCATCTAAAAACATTTTCAACTGTTCAAATGTCAAATGTTCAATATATTTCTATCCTATTGTTTGTAGAGATGTTAATTCATGTATAAATGACAATATAATAAAAAGAAAAAAAATAGTGATATTTATCAAACAGTAATGAAGTTATCCCTATAAAGATATTCAAGGTCTATTAAATACCAAACATACCAATGCATATAAAATGAGATACCTTGTGGAGCTTTGTTGATGAGCCCTGCTAAACATTTCACTGTCCCCAGCTGAGACAATGAATGTGATAACTGTAGAGTGAGATTAACCAACATATCCAATAGGCTGTATAAGGAAGGAACCAAAACCTGGAAATAAACAGCATCATGTATACATATAAAGGTATACAATACATCCTTAAGTGGAGTCCTTTATCAATATCAAACATTTTCAAATGCAATATGATACCAATTCAAGAGGGTTGAACTCCCAAGATGAATGAGTATGTACCGTATGTCTCTTTCACAAACAGTACACATAAATAATATGTGAACTGAGTAACTTCATACCTTAGCTCTCTTTTCCTAAATGTGCCCACAAAATATAGAACAGGGGTGGAGCTTGCTTGTGCTCTGATTTGGTGAACCTTCCAATGCACACTAAAATCGGGGCATAAGTAAGCTCAGCACTGTTATATTTCATGGGCACATTTGGGATAAAGAAAGCCCAGATATTTAGTTACTGGATTCACTTATTATTTTCAGCACAATGTGTGAATGAGAAAATGTCAGGGTTATCAATGAACTTCAATCTTGGGAGTTCAACCTCCTTCCAACAGAAAGAAAAAAGGAACTCAATTTAAATCAGTCATACAAAAAAGCAAGTTAAAAACTTAGTTGCAATAAGTCAGAATAGTTACTTGAATTTTACCCAAACTTACATTTTGATGAAGTGCACATATAACTGCCAAAAAGACATGCAGTGCCTGGGTCTGTTGCCAAGGTGATGAAGCCTACAAAATATAATTTTGTGTCAAATGTGAATTAAACATACTAACTTGTATTTACAAATATCTGATGATCAAAGATGATGATAACAAAATCTGGCATACAGTAAGAAAATCTGACAGGAAGATTCAGTAATTTCTCAGAAATTGCCTTTGAATATACTTGAAAATGTTTGCCATACTTTAATTGTGTACTTAGCATTCAGACTACATGTGAAAGAAGAGGTACCTGTAATGGTTTAAATGCTCCCTCAGCCTCTGCTCCACCTAACCACAAATGGGACTGCCCTTCAACATATACTGCAAGTACATTTTTAACCATCTCCTCTCCCTGCCTAGTGAATAAAAGCATAAGTTGTGCAAGTCTTTCTTTATGCATATCTGAAAGTGTATCTACATTATTAACTTAAATGCTTTCATAATAATCACATACACCAATTCAGATCCAGTTCTATCAACTACATTTAAATCTGTTTAGAATGAGCACAGCAATATTTCATCTTAAGCTTCAACAAGACTACAACATCAATATGAAATTATTTTTATCATGTCAGACTTTATGACAGACATCATGATCATGAAAACATCTCTCAGGCTCTAAAGCAACAATTGAATGCTTATAAATTCATTGAAACCAATATCCCCAAATCCTACCTCTGTGATAAATGCTGACATATAGTTCTGATGACACTGCATAATTTCAGTAAAATGTCCTGTTTCCAAAGAACATGTTCAGTCCTGCTTAAATAATTAATAAAACTTTGCAGTGATATCTTCAGCAGCTTTTGTAACAGGTCTTCATAAAAAAAGTCTAAATTTTCTTTTTCCTGGACAGAAGATTGCACAATGTTTGCTATGCAGTTCAAGCATAATTCAGCCTCAGAGTAATCAGTCGCTGGTCCTGAAAAAAACATTTAATCAAAGATATTTTACTCTTACAAAAAAATGGACAAAATGTTGCTATTGCTTGCAAATAAAATCCTATATTTCTTCAAAAGATATCCATTTTGCAATGAAATTTCAATAATCTGTGTATTGCAAGATACAGAATAATCATTATAAACTGCCTTTAATATGAATGAAATTTATCAGCAGTTACAAAATCCTTATTATTTATTATAATAACTAAAAAAGCCAAATTAAATGAAAATGAAAAAAAAAAAAAGAAAATTACTGTTTGTCAAATCCTCTAGTTGCTGATACAAGATGGGTACTGTTTCTTGTATTATGTCCTTATGTACTGATATGGCAGCCAGGGTATTGAGTAAATATCCACTTGAAAAATGAGGACTGCTCTGGTCTGTTTCCATGAAATCTTTTGAAAAGCAAAATTTAATGGAATAACTGATCCAGTGTGTACTTAAAGTCATGTGTGGTGTGAAAATCAAAAAGTGCAAAAGAGCACTGACATAAATGGTAGATTTTAAAATCATTCAATACATTTGTGTAAACTTTTTTGCTCATTAGGAATATGTTAACGAAAATATTTCAAATCACTTCACTTTTCTCAAATTCAAAGCTTTCTTCAGAATTTTTTCTTATTCAAAGGAGAAAAATATATCTCCCTTGTTTGTTTCAAGACATTCTGAAAGAATCATTTTGAGAGCAAAACTCACCTATTTTTAGATATTCAACTAATTTAGGTAATACTATTTTACAAACTATCCATGTCAATTCTGAGCTGATAAATGTTAAGGCTGTAGTGGCTTCTGTTCTGTAAAGCAAATCAGAGGCATCAATAATTCCCTTTAGAATCAATACCAAAAACAGTTTGTTTTCTAATTCATAAAATTATAATCAATTCAAGATGGCTTTTTCTGACCTTTTTAAATATAAAATCACCCATGTCTATTTTCTGCATACATATATTTTTGAACTGCAGTAAAAATATATACATAAAATGTTTATATCAGTGCATTTGTCCTTGCTTAATATCATCATAGGAAATTTGTCAACAAAAAAAAAATAATCTATAACCTGCTTTACATGTTAAATGCAGGTGCATACTTATGAGTGTGTCACTAACCTAACAGATGAATCTGTGTCCTCTAGCACAAGCTTCAACATGTGTTCTGCTGCCAGACATTGCTCTTCCTCAGATGTGACCCCAGTCAAGGTCAACATCCCCACAATGCCAGTCAACCCAGCACAACGTAACAGAAAATTTGTTTCACTCAATAAGGAAAACAACACTGGCATAATGGCATCTTTGTACTCAGCAACAGGATTTTTCTCTGAAATATAACAGATTAGATAATAAATAACATCCTATATAGATAAAAACCCATAATAATTGTCCAAATATGTCAACATTTTTATTAACAATTTTAGCACAATTATTATCTGTTTATATCCTATGACAAAGCAAACCTGCTTTATGAAATATCTCTTCCAATCAAAATTACACATTTTAAAATAAAAATTTAAAGAATGGCATACAACTAAGATCAATATATCAAATATCACCATTTCCCTATTCTCACTTCTCGTGCAATAAAAAATTGAAATCATAATAAAAACAATCTAGTACCATCTGAGCCATTAAACCTCTTGGAAATCTTGATAAAACCCAGCAGCACATCGAGTACAGACCTCCGATTCAGCACCTATAAAATTTTACGTTTATTTTAAGGGAAAAAAAAGTTCATTATTCTGTTTGAATATTTGGGCATATCAGTATTTTTGGGTGAATAAAGTTGTTAGTAAACAATTGTTGAGAGATAAACATTAAGTACAAAATTACATTCAAACCAAGATAAGTGAAAAAGAATTCTCTGAATATTTCTACAATGGTATCCTAAATATGTTAAATGCAGCATCTGATAAAGGAAATGACTAAATTCTACATTTATCTAGTAATATTTCGAATTTAGAGACTTTAAAATACAGCAGTTTCAGAAAAAAGGAAAAAAATTTATCCAAACTTAAAAAGAAAAAAATATGAAGTGCTTTAATTTTGATGAACTGACCTGAGTATGTTTATGAAATTGTTCCAGTAATAAAGGTATGATTTCCCTCAGTATAATACAGCAAGCCTGGTCTGACCCTGCTGCAGCTGCCTGGAGTAGTTTCCCACTTGGGTACATTAACTTCAGCTCTGGCTGTGTCAGGTGGTGTCTACAGTCTAAAACAATACAACATAACATTATATCCTAATTTCATATATTTTAATTAGCATGTCTAACATTGTAAAATCCTTCTTTATTAAAGCAACAAGTTATAAAAAATTTAAATATTTAGTTATAAAAACAAATGAGTGAATGGTTTGCAGTATTTAATAAACAGAGATATTAGAAGTGGTGTTTTTAAAATGATAATAAGTACATATTTCCACATTTTACTGTTCTTACCCTTGATGATGTCCTTCAAAAACCCATCTAGTAATGTTTCTGAGTTTTTCTGAAAGAGCAAAACCAGTTAAGTGTTCACCTTGTGCAGTCAAGTTATTAGAACCTTTCAAAACATAAATGGTATAACAGGGGATGGATATTCCATATTTTAAAATGTTCAGTGAACCAGTGACTAAATGAAAATACAGTTTATGGCTTCTACACATGCAGATTAAAAGATTTTAAACAATGTTTTTTTACTATAGAGGTGTGTGTTACTGACCTGCTGGACACCAGTAGAGAGAACTGATACCACAGCTGTAAGAGCACTCAGTGCAGCACCTTCCACCATTTCACTGACACCTGACAGCACCTTCAAGTAGAGATGAATGCATTTTAAGTATCACAAAACAATTATAATGCAGTGCAAACATTCAATGCAATGTATATAATGTGTTTCATAACAATTATTATAATACCTTTGCTTAGCCATAGGAGACACTGACTTGTGATGAGCATACAGCAGACTAGCTATCTTTAACATTGGTAAGTGTACGGAAATTATTTTAGCTATGGTTGCTAAAGTAATCAAATAATCATAAATTGTGGTCTCTTTTAATGTATGACATGCACACACAAATGCACATTCACATGTGTCCATAGATACTACAATTCTGCAACAGTATAATTTCTGATCACTGGCATAAATTAAAGAAGTATATTGTAAGTCAAATTCAATGTCATACCTCTCTCTTCATACACATAAAAAGAGAACTTAGGAATTCTTGGAAATCTTTGGCAGCATATGTTTCTGTACATTTTGCCTGCAATAAAAATGAATTTGTAATTATATCAGATACAAAATGCATGTTTCAGTAGCCTTTGAAGAATTAACGTACAGTATATTAAAGCATTTCTGTTGTTTTAAAATGTTGTTTAAGTAAACTTTGTCACTACGTGTATACTTGATTGAATCTGAACAGTAGTTTAGACAAAGTTACACTCAAAATTATCACACACACAAGGTGCAAAATACTGCTTTACAAGTACACAAGACAGATGCAACAAATATTGTTCACTGATGACCATAACCAACTTACTAATGTGTGAAAAGCATCCTTCTTTGCACTCTGTACATCAGAAGTCATCTTCTCAATGAGCAAAGGCAGACAATACTGGGCAAACAGAGGAGTGGCTGCCATGCACCTTTGTAAACCCAACACCAATTCATCCTTGGTAACTCCATGGGGGTCATTTGGAGGCTAGATACAAAAGTTAAAGAAAAAAGTACAAGCTAAGCTATTTTTAACAGAGAGTTTTTGCAAACAATGTATTTTTTTTTAATTCAATTTTATTGAGAGTTGTGAAAGTGGTTCATGTCAAGATCTGTAAATATAACATAATATTTTGTTAAGTTTATGAATGTAATGTTATATGACACTGGATGAAACAGGAAGGAAACTGCTTATGTATATTACTCTATCAAAAATATGTAAAGCACACCAAACTCGCACAACAGAAGACTTAAGTAATAGATCACTTACCGGAGTAAAATCAATGGGAAAATAACAGGAAGTGACTTCAAATAACTCCTCTGCAAACATTCCTTTAATTGGAAAATACCATATATCAAACATAAATCTGTTAGTCACCAATAAGCAACATATGTGCGACATGTTTTTAATAAAAATAATAATGATAAACAAATCAAAATCTGTTATTTCAGTTATCAAAAGTTCAGCAATATAGTTTCATTTCTGTTTTTACTTGGTTCTATTTAAAATGAAGGAAAAAATTTAAAAAAAAAGTTGGAAAAGGCCACTTTTAACTTTTTTAACTAAAAAGGCACTTACCTATAGGAAAGTTCTGCACTATTACAGGAACAATATTGAAGGCAAGGACCAAATTTCGTGGGTCTCGTTCACCATCCATTGTTTGGATGAAGTTATATACAAAGTCTGCTCCCATTGGTTTAAGTTCTGTATTGAAGGTATTCAAAAAGCATAACATAAAATTTCAGCAATTGTCAAATAGCACTATTCCTAAATACTACAAAAAATATTGCAAAAAACTGCAAATGAACATTCTTTTAATGAAAGATATTCAATTTGGTAATAGACTTGCTACAGATGGAGCTAACTGCATAGTTAGCAAATACACACAATAAGATAGGACAATTACAGAACAATTATCACAAACATTCATTTTACGGTTGCTATGCACACAAGAGCATTGGGGCAGTGTTTTATTTACTACCCATTATACTCACCCTCCATCTTAGTATGAAGTAAATTTATTAGTATACTGTATGCAGATCGCCGGTCTGCTTGAGCCAAAGACTGTACATGCACTTCTTTGGATACTTCCTTCACCATCTGTTGTCCGCTACCAGGTGGCAGGTGGGTGAAAGTGGACTAAAATAGAAAACAGTTTAATGCCTTAAAGAAAAAAATCTAAAAAGTTAAGTTAATGTGTATTGCTTGGAATTTCTGCATGGCTGCTACTCTATCACAATTAAAATTGAAACTGCATTTATATGCTTGGGCAGATTTACTGTTTTGATACATACCATAGCAAGTAAACCAAACAGCACATGTGGAGTCACTGAATGATGATCCTTTAATCTATCACTGAAGAAGTTTACCAACAGCTCCACTGAAATGAACAATCACAGTATCATAATCCTGCAAAATCCAGATGCTAAATATAACTTAAAGCTTTGCTTGTGAGGCTAATAACTAGAAGTTTGTTAAAACATCATTTACACTGATGAATTTAAGAAATCAGCGACAAACTTTTTTGAAGAACAGAGAGTGAAACTGCAGGTGAAATACTTTGCCTTTGGATAAATATTAAATGTAATTTATAGTGTTTTTCTAGACTAACATATTTCTTAAGTTGATGATATAAACATCATCAACATTATCTTTAAAACGGTATTCCACATCTCCTTTTGTCTCATCCCCTTGTGCACATTAAGTTAAAGAGAGTAAAGATGATTTTCAAATGTAATCATCAAAAGCTTTGACTCTTTCTTTTTCTTTCAATAGAATTTTAGTGGAAAAATGACTATTTTAAAATGTGGTAATAAAAATAACATATTTTCTTGAATCATCTCTTTTGTTTTACCTTCCTTTATTGTGAGGAAATCTTTTGGCAACCTATGCAGAACCTCTCCCAATAGTCGTGTTCCTCTACATCTTACAGCTGTGTCAGCACTGGTTAAGTGAGGACTTGACAAACAGATTGAAACTTTGTTGAATAACAAATGCAAGCTGTTATGTTTAGTATATACATTTGTTTCATCTACACGTACCATTTGAATGCCAATATAGGTCAAACTACTCTTAAAGGTACTGGTATCTTTTTTGCATTGCTCTTTTTCTCACCATTTTTTCCATGCAGATACTGAATATTTTCTGACATAATATCTTAAGAGGAAAAACTTACCCAAGCTTTTCTATTAGTTCAACTAGCTGTATTTCTTTCCCAATAATACCTGAAACATTCAAAGTTTTGTGTGGTTTACATGTTCTTTCACCAATCAAATAGCAAAGGAAGCACCATTCAAATTTGATGTACAACCTTTACATATTCTTTCATTGATCAAATGGCAAAGCAAGCAGCAATAAACAATAAGAAGATGAACGGGCATGTCATAATACAAACCAAGAATGCTCAAAACCAAGTGCATTAAACTGGCTGCACTGAAATATAGAAAGTAGGTAATGTGTGCATAATTACATAAACATTCCAATCATCAATTTTAAAAAGACAATATAAGGGTTTTTAATGGTATTAAGATTCACATTTTCTGTTCCTATTTAAAAAGGAACGGTTGAAAAACAGTATCATGCAAATTTGATGTAGTCAAACCTTTTGAAATGGTGTCAACACCTGTAGCTTGATGTCCATTGACATACACCTCCAACGCGTTGATCCACATGGGCGCTGCCATGTTCTTGCAAGTCTGCACCAGATGCAACTCGAAATTAATTAAATTTGATGAGGTACTGCAAATTTGTCGATATCCAGATTATGGTTCAAGAATATGAAGACTATTAGTTTCAAAGTCAAAATAACGTGACTTAATTATGTAAATACATTATTTTTCTTACACTTCAATGCATATTAACCAATCACGATTCAGTAAGCGGTATCTATGCGGACCTTTTTTAATCTCCTGACGTCATTTTCCCATCTAAGGAAAAAGAAGGAATCCCGAATTTGTTTTTAGTTGGGTACTTCCTTGTAGCCCCTCGGTAATGGGTGGGTGCATGGGTACCTCTCGTGGTGGCTCAGGAAGCACAGGTGATCCAGAGAGTAGCGGTGGACCAAACACGGGTAATTATTTCACATAATGTTTTTTGTTTGTTTACGATGGTGACAAGTCAAGTGTTGACTGTTGTGCGGCGCCTGAAGCTAGCAATCACTTACAAGTATTAATCAGATGCAGGCATAAAATATTAAATGAATAGTACAACGTATTCATTGATGAAGCTTGTAAATGCCTTAAACATCTATATCAAGACCGATTCTGTGCGGCAGTAGATCCATTGCAAACTTAATCATAATTTAATTATCTCGGTCACAGCGTTTCTGAATTGGTTACATCATTTAAATCACTTGACAGATAAATTTCCTTGTATGTATAACTAAGCACTCTGCTTAGTACCATTTTTAAATATATGTATATATTTTTGAAGCAAGCTCAAGCTTGAAATATTGCATGTGTTGTTTCTCCTACATAAACAGCAACACTGTAACTTCCAACATTTGCAAACATCGGTTCATTTGTGCTGTCTTGTTCACTGAAAAGGAAACATTTCTTTATTTATTTGTATTAATTATGATTATTTTTATTACCATTATCACCATTATTATTATTATTTTTAATTTATTATCATCATGTTTTAATATTATATCTTTTTGCCAAAATGTGTAATAGCAATGAATTGTTTGACTTAATAAGTGTCACCTTATTTTTTCAGTGTCAGTCGGGCGCAATCAGCCTCTCAAGTCTGATAAACAAAAATGGAAAAGTGACATTCCTTTGACAGAGGGCCAGTTACGAAGTAAGAGAGATGAGTTCTGGGACACTGCTCCAGCATTTGAAGGCCGTAAAGAGATTTGGGATGCACTGAAAGCTGCTGCCTATGCATTAGAGACTGGAGATCATACTTTGGCACAAGCTATTGTGGATGGAGCCAGCATTTCTCTCCCTAATGGTGAGTTTCAGCATGGCATATTTGTTGTTGCACATGAGAAAAAGAGTTGTTTTAGATTTACTTAGCGTCCCATATTTAGGCTAGGTAGGATTGAATTAAATCCATAGGGCCTAAATACTGGACACTGAAGGGAGAAATGATTATATTAATTGTGATAATATGATTTACTTTTTAAGAGTAACCTCAGTTCATCTGAATTATCCTGGAATGTTTGCAGGTGAAATTAAAAACAACATAGAATGTTTTGAGGGAGGGGGTGTATCTGTGCCACTCCATCCTGTCCCTGCCCAAGACCTGCCAATACACAAAAGAATCTGGAGGAAAATGTAGGTGATGATATTTTTCCTTGTGTGATCAAGTGTTTTAAGTTACAATTTGAAATGTTTTCCTTAATGTTTTCCAGGGACATTAATGGATTGTTATGATGAGCTAGGAAATCGGTATCAGCTCCCAGTATATGTTTTGAGCTCTCCAACAAATCTCATAGAAGAAGTGAGCGAGAGTGACACAGCCACAGACTCCGAGTCTGTCTCAACAGGACCAGAGACCTTAGTGAAACTTAGGCTCTCCACTGGGAAAGACCTAAAGCTCTCAGTACGTACAACAGACACTGTGTTGAAAGTGAAAAGGAAAATCCAAACAGAAGAAGGCATTGACCCATCTCGGCAAAGATGGTTCTTTTCTGGTCGCTTACTTAGTGATAAAATGAAGATAGAAGATTGTAAAATTCCCAAGGGATTTGTTGTGCAAGTGATTGTTTCTGGATCCCACCCACATACTCCAGTAGACAGTTAAATGATACATAGAATTGCACTATCCTATTTCACATTATTTACAGAGGAAGAGCAGCTACCAAAACATTATATGATATTATGTAATAAAGGAAATTCTACATTGACTACGGGATAAAATAAAAGCTGGTGCTTTAAAGACACATTGCAAGAACCCTCATTATTGCACCCACAATAATCAACGGAACTACAGATACTTATTCTGTTGCCCTAGTAAAAAATGTAACAGATTATTTTGTGTAATTGGATATATTTAAGTACAAGCATGTTGATTTACTTACATGGTATATAGTGTGTGTAATGCTACATATCTGCATCCATGGAATATACAGGATTGGTGAGATAGCACAGTTTCTGGTAAACTGGACATTATTTTAATGTTTTAATCTTGGCAACATTTATTTTCCCCTAAAATTAATTACAAAGGCAATATGTGTAACAGTTGCAACCCTACTTGTCTGCATTAGCATTTTAATTTGTTTCCCCCATTTTATGTGTACAGATCAGTGCTGTGATTGTTGAACAAAGCCAAGCTTGCACATCTTTACTTGCTCAAAATTTAAGGGACAATGTACAGGATTTTTGTCTTTTCAATTTTCCCCCTCTTTTTTGGATATCCGGGTCATATTCTTATTAATGTGACATCCCTTTTAAGTAATTTAATTCCTACCCCAGCTCAAAATTTACTGATTTGTGCCAAGTGACCATAAAATTGGCAGAACATGATTTAGGAGTACTTGTTAGTTTTGAACTTGACAGTAGAATATAATTGAGCAACCCAGGAAAATATCTGTATTTTTCTCCTGGATTTGGTATACAGTCCCTTTAATGCTTCAAGGAAGATATCAAGTAGACGAACTCATTTCTCATTATAGTTCTTGTATAGCTTTATATGTCAATTGATCCTAAGTCAAAAGGCACCACTCTTTAGTTTATAAAATGCCTTTAGTTAAGTGATTGAGATCTTCATATGGATTTTTCAATCATTTAAAAATTGTAAAGATATCTGTTGGTGAGTCGTCTTGCCTGCTAACTAAAAAGATTACCCTTGTCAAGGTCCCATTTGTTTGAAATCTTAAATTGTGTTTTCTGTTAATATTGTTCAGCATTGGGTCCTTTAAAATGTGGTATGACACCAAGGCAAAATGACTTGGATGTTTTTGCTGTCATGCAATGTAAACATATTATCATTTACATATCAGAAATAAAAATAAAGCAATCCTTGAAGGTATTTAGTAAGTGGACAATATTAACTTTAATCCATTTATGTACATTTTCAAGTCATTGGAATTATTTTGACTAATTTAATGTCACAGATGGACTTGCATTTGTTCATTATTGTAAAAACTCAGTCATGACTAGCATATCTGCTAGTATGGGATATGGAATATAATACAACATCAGTCAGTTGACAGATTAATCATCACATAATAGATATCCAATGATAAATTCCCCTTCCTGATAGTTTGTCACAGAATCAGAACAGTTTCCAGAATTGTTAGATAACACAGGAAGGTGCCTTTTTAAATAACTTTATCAGATAACAGATTGGCTTTGTCTAGTGCATGTCTTTAAGCTGCCACAGAAAAAGGGGAAATTAATGCATAGCATGTTGGTTAATAAAGGATGGTTGTCAGCTTCAAGTCAAAGTAATTATATTGAACATAATATGCATCTTTTGGTGTGTCAGAATAGAGAAAGTCAAATTACCCGAAGCTGTATATTATGTTTAAAGCAGAAGCTTCTGCATGAAGTATGGCAAATGTATCACCTATATTGTGGATCAATTCATGTTTTTAATGGTTGGTGATTCTGTATACCTTTCATGTTTCAGCATTTGGATTATTTTATGTCAACATTTTAGTGTTATATATATATATATATTTATAGTTTAGTGATCTGTGTTAATAGTGACTTATTTTATCAAGTTTAGTCATGGATCAAATGAGCTTGTGGTATGCTCTGAAACATGAGGATGTGAATTAACTGGTTGTGAGAGAAAAAATACTGCCAACATTTATTTAATGTTAGTATTTGAGATGAGTGATGATCAACAATATCGCATATCTTAACTTTCTTTTACTGATTTTCAAAAAGGAAAACAGTGAGTAATTTTTTTGTGTTTAGGTTGAAGGTACCTCTAACACCTGCTGATTATACTCAGAAAATCATGAAATTTTCACAGCATAATAATGCTATATTAGAAGTTGGGATATTTTCTTTCTCTTTTAAAATAGAAAAAAATCTGAAATTTTATCAATATAATAGCACAAATACTTTGAAACAGCCCCAGTTGAAGGCAGAAACAAAAAAAAAAAAGGTTCATACAATTTCATCCTTTTATAACCCTGTGATTATTACTACAAGGTATTAATGTCTTCAAAAAGACTTTGCAAGTCATTGAATTGTTTATAAACATACTGCTTTGAACAATCACAGTGCTGGCAATTTTCTCATNCTTGAAATTTTAAATAAAGCAATTATGAACTGGCATAGGTTTTTTTTAAGTAGACATATTGTGTCTGTACATATAGCCATCACCTGGAACTGTCTTCGCTGCCATCATCACTGTGCACTTTCTTGGGGGGGATTGAGGCTGTCTTCTCGGTCTTCCAGAAGATGGTCAGATTTTCAAGGTTACATTGACAGGTAACTAATTTTTACTGTGGGAAGTACAGTCAAAAATGGAGTATGGATCAATGAAGATAATTTGGAAGACTGTCACAAAATATCTCTGAATCTGCCCCTGCTTTCAGTAACAACACACTAACTGGAAAACAATTTGACCTATCGTCAAACTTGCAGAAGTGATGAATATTCTTAAAATACTACCCTGAGCGTCAGAGCAACGTAAAAGCTAGCTTGCTAAATATACCTTGTGGTGGAGTCGCTTTTACTAACTCTGAAGACCAGGGGCCATGAAAGTTTTCCATCAATCAAATAGAACTGCTCCGCAGTGAAAATGCAGTTGAATGTCATCAGACCAAAATAAAACGTAAAACAAATTTAATTCTGCTTTATTTAATTTTATTTGCTGTATTTAAGATTTAAAGTGAAAAAATAAATAATATTCTTCTGAAAGAAAAGATATATTCAATGATTTTGTATTTATTGCTTATCAAAGAACATTTAGTCCTGAGATATACACCTGTGACGTACGAGACTTATGACTTCCAAATATGGATCCAGGCGGACACAGCTGTGACGTGTGACTTCCAAATATGGAAGCGCCCCAGGCAGAATTTTGAAGAAGAACGCCCCCGAGTTGCCACTGTTCGCTAGAGTCTGGTATTGCTACTATGGGTTATATATGAAATCAAGATCGAGCTGGCAATACCGGAATCTAGAACCTAGGGTATAAAATACAGGCCAAGTTCAAAAATCAGCCTGTTTGGACCATTTTTCCAAAACTTATGCTGTTAAGCTTGACGACCTTTGCTCCTCACATTTCTGAATATCCATGATACTTTTATTTTAGTATTAAAAATTGATGGTCATTAAACTATTAAACATTATGTAATATTGCATCAAAATTGAAGAAAGCCCTACTTTGGGCACTGCTGCAGTAACGACAAATGAAGGAAATCCATGTTACTTATGATTTTCAAACTTACTGAAAAGATTCCTATTATCAAAATGCAGTTTGATTTGGAAAACCAGTCTGATTGGATTCTTTTCTGAAAGCAATGCAGTTCTTTGTGAAATTTTCCTTTTTCACACATTAACATTTTCAATGTGGGACTTCCATGGGCCTCATGCCAAATTGTAGTTACATTTTCAGAATATCCATGTTGCAGACGATTAAAAATCGGTGGTGATAATGCTGTTAGTCATTATGTAATATTGTATCAAAATTGACCAAAAATACTTTGTGCACTGTCACCACAAACTGTTTGAAAGGAAAACCATGTTACTTATTATTTTGTAATTTACAAGAATGATTCTTAGAGTTGACATGTAGCTCAAATTGGAAAACCGGCTTGACTGGATTATTTTTCTTTATTGGATTTATGCATTTTTTTTCCTTTTTTTTAAATGTTCATTTTTTTCTCATTCTGGCATTTTCAAAGTGTGAACTTTAACTTATGGGCCTTATGCTAGTTTCACATCTAACTTACATCGGTATTACCTGTTGTGCATGATAAAAATTTGCATCATTGCTGTTAAGCACAATGCATTATTGCATTTAAATTGACAAAATAGCTTATTTTGTGCATCATTATTTTCTGCTTTTCGTCTGTACATATGACAGCCTTGTTTGATATGGGAAGTGTCGACTGTTTAATAGGAAGAAAAAAAATCACATCCTGTATTCAAACTAATGGAATTGACCAAAAAAAATTACATGCTCACAACTTAAGTCAGAAATGGGTCTTTTTAAAACCAGAATGTGGCTATAATTTGTCATGACCCTCTATTGAGAGTGCCATACTTTAATCTAGTTGTCTGCCCAAATGGATTCACAGATTTCAAGTCTGTGATATCCATTGTAAATACATATACATGGCTATTGCCTGCCCTGTGCAATAAGCAGCTGTGCCGTGTTTGAAAAGACATCACTGACACAAGACTTTGTCTTTTTTTTCATATATATGTATCTAATGTAAAATAGACCTTAACTAGTTTTAATTCATTTTCTAGTCTAAACACACCAGACTTACATTTACTCAGCTTATTGCAAAAAAATTTATATCTATCAAATACAACAACTTCAGACTCAAGGGTTATTATTCAAATGAATTTATTTATAAAGTATGCCTCAATTATACAAAATCAACCTGATCATGTGCACTATAATATATCTGTACTATGATCAGTAAGTTGATAACAATCTCAAATTTTGCACTGAACATATTGCCTTGTAAAATGTATTATGCATCATTTGGTGTAAAAGTCAATAAAGATAAATAATGCTAAATTCAGAAAAACAAAGAACAAAGTATTTCAATTAGTAAAATTACTTGAATTCACTGATTGGGTTTTGGAATGAAATGAAAACAAAACAAACAAATTTACTTGTAAAAATTGTATATCTTAAAAAATTACTAGACGTAGTCTATATGATAAATCACAACTTCATTTTAAAGACTAAAACTTAAAACTGACCCTTTAATTTTTTCGTTTTTTAACATGTAAAAAATCTACATGCATCGTTAACTACCAAAGAAAGCTTTTTGAAACAAAACTATATGAGGAAGACAGTTATTAACAGGGTGCAAAATGAAAGTAAATAAATTCTTTATAACACTCAGAGTTGGTTCTTCTTAATCAAAGGGATTATTTTATCACACTATAATTGAATTTACATAACAACACACATTTTTGATTTCTGTGATTTGCTAGGAAGGTCAGGTTCACTGCCTGAATCATTTTTCTTCTTTTCAGCTTCACGATCCTTCATCTTCTGATGGTATTCATGGAGAAGTCTTTCTCTAAAAAAAACAACAACATTTAATATAGTCTTTTGTGAGCCAAGTTACTCCTTGATGACCCTGTGGTCACTTTTTTTTTCAAAATTTGTCACTTACTTTGTCACTTAAAAGTTTCTCATGTATAGTTGAGCAAAATTAGTGTACACCACTTTGAACAATTTATCAAACAATCTGAGCTACCAAAAAGAGTACTACTACTACTACTAGCATTAGTATTAAAATGTAAAATACAAATTTTTCTAACATAACATCATATGGTAGTAGCATAATAATGTTACTATCTCATTAAATAATTTTAATTGTTATAAGAAATAGTGACAAAATTGGAAATTGAGTTGCAGATAAAAAAAATTTAATGTGTGAAATTAAATTGTCCTACCTTTCTCCTCTTGGCAAAGGTGGGGGTGAGGCAGATGTAGACGGCTGTTCATCATCCCCGCTGTCTCTGGGATGGAGACTCTCATAGGTTTTGTCAAGTTTTTCTGTTGTCCCTGGGTCATCTTTTTCAGTTTCATTCTCATCCTCAGAATCTGCATCAAACCAAATTGTGTATTAAAAATAATGCATTTTTATTTGGAAAAATCTCACCTGATGTTCTTCTTGAACATACTAATTTGGAGTCTGGAGGCAATCAGTATGTCACACATTCAAATATAAATCCTCAATCAATAACCAAAATTACACTGCCAACGTGATTCTACATTCAAAGCACCATAAACTTTAAATTTTTGAAAGCAAAAGGAGACACAAAGAATATCAAGGATGCAAAATATATTTTTAATATCAACATATTTTACCTTCAGATTCAGATTCAGTGTCTGTTTGCTTCTTGGTTTTGTCAACTTTGGCATACTCTGAAGACTGAGCTGGTGTCTCATAGGTACCATTCAGAGGAGGAGGTACTGGAGGGGGCTGCAAACTGCAACAGACAAGATAAAAAATAATCATATTGCTTACAAAACCTGCTCAAATATACATTTACAAATTAAGTTTATTTAGAAACATATTCCCTCACCTAGGAAGTGATAATAAGAGAATGATACAAACCAAAGTATACTTCTATAACAAAATAACACAAAACAATGTCAAAGAATAATTGTGTTGTACTGACCTTTCTTTTTCATCCTTTTTTTCTTCTGTTGCAGTTTCAGATCCAGAGCCTGAATCAGAGTCTGCCTTTTCTTTGCCTGTTTCTGTCTCAGTGTCTGAGCCAGATTCACTTTCCGACACCCTTTTAGGTATTGTTTCATCCATTTTTTTCTTATCCGATTTTTCTTTAAAACCATCCTCTTTGTCAGATGACGAATCTTTAAGATGTTTTTTCATTGCCTCTTTCACACTTTTTTTATCCTCATCTTCTGAATCAGAATTCTCCTCAGTCTTAGAAGTTTCCTCATCACTATCAGATTCACTGTCACTGCTAGCACTACCACTGCCACTGCTGCCACTACTACTTCCACTACCACTGCTACTGCTGCTACCATCACTACTCGATTCACTGTCACTCTCAGATGAAGCGGAGGGAGAGGAAGTTTCCTTCTTGCGACGTCTTCTGCTTTTTCCTTTCCCTTTATCATACTCACTTTCAGTTTCAGTTTCAGTTTTACTCTCAGATTCTGATTCTGATGAAGAGGAAACATCTCTTCTCTTCCTGTGTCTTTTCCTTTTCTTTTTGTGATCGCTTTCAGTTGTGCTTTCACTTTCAGACTCAGATTCTTGACTTGAACTGGACTTCTTTCTGTGCCTGCGCCTTTTTGGCTTTTCACTCTCTGTGCTGGTTTCTGTTTCAGTGACACTTGTTATACTACTATCAGTTACTTGTCTCTGCTTGGGATGCCCTTTCTCCTGTTTATATGCCATTTTGCTATGTGAAGGTTGGGGAGCTAC